TCAAAGTCTCAGAGCTTAATTTGACAATTGGACAATTTTGCTTTTAACAGATTTGCACAATTTTGCTCGAAATATTATATATATATATATATATATATATATATATATATATATTCCTTTTTCCAGTATTTTTAACGAGCTTGCACTGTTCCGATTTCACTCGGCTTTGTACTTTATCATCTTTGTTTTGCTGATAATCATACTGTTATGGTCCGGTTCCTTGTACCACGGTGATAGTCCAAGGTAGAACCAATAAAGAAGAACTCGAACACGGATATGGAATAACACAGATATATTACAAACAGGAATATATACAGAGAAGTAGAAAGTGTTAGTATGAACAATTAGGTTTAGTAGTAATTGTCTGAACCCGACTCTGTTTCGGACTGCTTCTGACTCGACTGACTGACTCGCTCGCTCTGAATGACTGACTGACTCCTGACGGACGTGAACTCTAGACTACAGACGGAACTCCAGACTTCAGACGGAACTCCCTGCTTCCTCTTGAGAGCGCAGTATTTATTACGTATTTAATAGACCATTATGTTATTATGGGTAAGGTCCCATGACACATACATACATACATATATATATACATATATATATATATATATATATATATATATATATATATTAAGCGTTTCACCCCAAGCAAGGCGGGAAGACACTAGCACGCCAGGGGTTACAGAGAGTTGGAGCGAAAGCAAATAGGAATGATAGAGGTAATAATGAAGAGAAGGATAGGGGTAATGAGTTAGCAGAAATTATCTGACAGCCATGACCAGGTTCTCTTGATGGTGTGGTATGGTACAGAGCTCTGTGCCAGACATATGGCCTTCCAGTAGGTACGCTCTTGAAGCAGGGCACTTGATGTAGTTCTTTGTATTGTGTCTGAAGATCTCAACATCAAATTTGGGAGGTCTTTTCTTATGTGAACGATCAGAGTGAGTTTTAAAAGCAGCCGTACCTTCGTAATCACCATTAGACTCATCCAACTCTTTCCAAATCCTCTGCACTGTTCTCAGATTGACACCCAAAATCTCTTAAATGTTCGTATCGGAGCTTCTGGCGTGAATGCCAAGCAGTGCAGCATGCCGTTTCCAAATTTCTAGCATCATGATGCAAAAAGTATCATGACGCGAATCTCACAGACGGTGCCCAACTGACCCTACTATACTGTACAATCGACAAAATAAAAAAAAAACACATGCGCAAAAGAAAACGCATAAATTTGCGATAATTTAGCCATCGCACCCTTACATATGTGTGTGTGTGTGTGTGTGTGTGTATAATAGTATATATACACATTTTCTATTTAAGTGTGTAAGTGTATAATAATTTTGCATACAGATATAAATACGTGTGTATATGTGATCTTTTCGTCAAATATAATCACCTTCTGTAATCTGCAAATCTTGGATGGACAAAACACACACATACATAAATAAATACATACGTGAACTGATATACTCAGAAATATATATATATATATATATATATATATATATATATATATATCCTACAGACATGAATTGAAAATCATCATTTTTGTAAAATCTACAAATCAAAGCAAAGGCCATGTTTGTTTGAAATCAAAATCTGTCATGGAACCAAAATTAGAAATGAACTAAAAAAAAACGAAAATAAAGAAAACATATATAAATAAATAAAACCCTTCGAACGATTTTACACGCAGCAACCATCTTTGATCTTTCCAAAAATGGTAAATAATTCTTGAAGACCTGTTTACGTAACGTCTTGAACAAATTGTTGAAAGCCGAAGTCTCAGAAATGTCGGAAATATAAGTCGAATAATTTGCAATAACGTCAACATCGACGAGCAGACGATCGACCGAAGCGTTACCTAAAGTAAAAAAAAAAAAAAAATGGATTGAATTGGGGTTTATTACTTATGAAAGGTCAGGATGAAGACTTTCTCTTTAATCTGCTGTTTGAATGTCAGCAATATTGTCCACCTCCTGACTTCCAGCTTGCGCATGCGTACTTCCGATGCAGTCGGAATCTTTTTCTCTCCTCTCTCCTCTGCCTCGTTCTATCTCCATAATCTTTGATTCCAGCACTTTTCTGCCATTATTATTATTATTTTTATTATTATTATTATTATTATTATTGTTATTATTTTGAGGAATTACAATATATTTTTATTTTCTTCTCTTTTTCCTGTGAGTTCTTTTATAAGTTGCGTTATTTTTTTCTTCTTTTTTCTTCAGTACATTTTTCCAAATGCTCCTAATACTACTGGTACTCTCTTTAACGGATAATGCATCAATTATCATTATTATTGCACTTTATCTCTTTGTTTTATTTTCAATTCTTCGTTTTTCAATGATTGCTATTTTAAAATTTATTCTCAGTTTTTTTTTTATCGTTATTTTTATTTTTTTTATTTGCTTTTTTTCTTCTTTTTCTTTCCGTACATTTTCGTTTTCTCTTCTTCTTTCTTCTTCTTCTTCTTCTTTTTCTTCTTCGACTTCGACTTCTTCTTCTTCTTCTTCATCTTTTGCTGCTGCTGCTGTTTCTCCCCTTTATTCTTCTTTTTATTGTTGTTTTTGTTCTTCTTCTTTCCGTTTTCTTCCTTTCTCTACATTTGCTCTTCCTTCTTTTCATCAAATTTATTCCCACGGTGTTCAATTATATTCTTTTTCTTCCTCCTCCTTCCCTTCCTCAATTTTCTTTTATTTCCATTTCTTTTTTCTTATTATTCTATTCATACTCTTTCTTTTTCATATTTCTTCTCCTCTCTTTCTTTATCTCTTTCTTTATCTCTTTCTTTTTATTATTCCTCCTCATCCTCTTCTTTTTTCTTTCATCCTTTCTTTTCTCCGTCTTTTTATTTAATTTCCTTCCTTTCGTCTTTCCTTTCTTCCTTCCTACTTCTTTTCTTTCACTTTTCTTCTTTTCTTCTTCTTTTCTCTTCGCCTTCTTTTCTTCTTGTTTTTTCTTTTGTCTTCTTCTTCGTCTTTTTTCTTTCTCCTTTCTTTCTTACTTCTTTTACTCGAATTCCTTTTCTTTCATCCTCTTCCTTTTCTTTCTCTTCTTCTTTTCGCCAGTTCTTTCTCTTTCCCTTTCTTCTTCCCTTCCTATTTTATTCTTTCTCTCTTTCGTTATTCTTTTCTCCCCCCCCTTTTCTTTCTTCCTCCTCGTTCGTTCGTCTTCTAACATTTTTTTAAAAAATGTTTAATTTTCTTTTTCTGAACAATTTTTTAATCAAGAGATAAATTAAAGACTACATAAATAGAAACCGGAAAAAATGACCCGTGTTGATTTTATTTCGCTTCGCAGCCACCATACACTATAATGCTGCCATAATTTCCTATCGTGTTGCAACGCAGATGTTAAACAGAGAACGAAAAAAAGTGGAAATATTTTTTTATCAATAATTGTATTTTTTTTCTCCTTTCACAGAAATGACAAATATAAAGAAGCGACCGTTTTGATCAATCAAATCATTTCAGTCGAAGTTATTTATTCGTTACACGTACCTTAGATCCTACAGACTGACTTCAGGATGTCACAACGTCACCAAGGGACTTAAAAATTTAATAACTCCTTCATTTTTTTAACTTTAATTGACAATACTCCAGACATTGGAAATAAACGTACACTAGGCGAGAAAGATTACATGTGGCCTTCAATTTCATCTTCGAACGAACGTACCGTTTCTAAAGCATTTCCCATAACAGCCTTTAGCATCTGCCGTTACTGCTTTGATACCTTTCTGAATGTTCTTCTTCAATTGTTGGAGAGTCTTGTTGACATAAACCTTTTCTTTCGGATGGGAAGAATTTGTTGACATAAACCTTTTCTTTCGGATGGGAAGAATTTGTTGACATAAACTTTTTCTTTGGGATGGGAAGAACTTGTTGACATAAACACTTTCTTTGGGTTGGGAAGAATTTGTTGACATAAAACTTTTCTTTCGGATGGGAAGAATTTGTTGACATAAACCTTTTCTTTCGGATGGGAAGAATTTGTTAACATAAACCTTTTCTTTCGGATGGGAAGAACTTGTTGACATAAACCTTTCTTTGGGTTGGGAAGAATTTGTTGACATAACCTTTTTTTTTCAGAAGGGAAGAATTTGTTGACATAAACCTTTTCTTTCGCATGGGAAGAATTTGTTGACATAAACCTTTTCTTTCGGATGGGAAGAATTTGTTGACATAAACCTTTTCTTTGGGATGGGAAGAACTTGTTGACATAAACCCTTTCTTTGGGTTGGGGAGAATTTGTTGACATAAATCTTTTCTTTGGGATGGGAAGAATTTGTTGACATAAAACTTTTCTTCACATAGTAAGAACTCGAGGCTTGTCAGATCAAGGGAACGTGATGGCCAGTTCTTGTCGCAACCGTGAGAAATTATTCTTTCCCCCAGAAACTAGACTGTGGTCCTTGTTGTATGAGTTGTTGCCCAATCTAGTACGGACACAGATTGGCGTCGAAGAGACCCAAACCTGTTTAGGCCGCCTCCTTGTTGAGGTTCTCGCGTCTTCTTAGATACTCTCTCTTACTCGCTTAAATACTCCTTCATTCCTCACCGAACGGGGTCTGCCAATTCGTCAAAGGTCACTTATTGAACCTTTATTCTAAAAACTGGAGATTTTCTCATGCGGTTTGGTCACGTTCAGTTTGAATTATTGGTTTTAGTACAAAGATTTCACTACTTGTGTTCGTTTTTCAGTCGTGTATTTTTTACCGGTATGACATATTTATGGAAGGTCACCTGTTGAACCTTTATTCTAAAAACTGGAGAATCTCTCACACGGCAATGGCGACTATATGCTCCTTGAATTTAAATTATTGATCCTTTGGTACAAAGATTTCACTACTTGTGTTCGTTTTTCAGTCGTGTATTTTTACAGGATTTATTTCCAATGCCTCTTTATAAAATAACCTTAAAAAAGTTAATAAACAAAAAAGTTATTAAACTTTCAAATATCCTGATGACTTTTGGGACAGCATATATAAGCCCGAAGGCTTACGGCCATACCACGCTAGGTCACCTGTTCCCATACGATCACCGAAGTTAAGCCACGTCGAGCCTGGTCAGTACCGAGATGAGTGAGATCTTGGGAGTTCAAGGCACTGTAAGCTTGGATGTGTGGTGGTATGGCTTACGGCCATATCATGTTGAAACACCGATTCTTATTCGATCCCCAAAGTTTAGCAACGTCGTGTCTAGTCAGTACCGAGATGGGTAACCGTTTGGAAATAGCAGACTCTGTAACCTTGGATGTGCGGGTGGTGTGATGAATAACGCCTAGGGAGGAGAAACGAGAGAGCCGAGTTCAATTTCTAGTCTGGTCAGTGACATTTTTTTTACGCGCAAATACTTTTCTTCTTTTTTTTTACTAATGTTTACCTAATACAAGGCCGAAGAGCCACTCAAGGTAGACAGTGATGTGTGGTGTTGTCTGAGCGTAAGAAAGGGGAAGAAGTTAAGTTCATGTGGTTGTACATTTTTTATTTTTTTACCAACGCGCACCCAATACAAGGCTCAAGAGTCACTCAAGGTAGAGCGTTAATGTGTGGTATTTGCGCGAGAAAGGGCTAGAAGTGAAATTCTTGTGGCTATGCAGGAAGATTAACAGCATTATTGGGAAAGGCATGGATCTACTTCCTGCACCCCAACTATGGGTTAAATAGTAGGACTTGTACTTGAAAATCATTATTATCACCAAAAATTGTTAGTTCAATAATTACTCCCAAAGAAAAACACAAAAACACAAAACAATTATTCCTGCAAACTAAAACTATGTTCCGGTTTTAAATAGCCTTCAAAAGGTTGATAAACCGTAAAAAATTCGGTTATAATCATTGTTTTGTGATTTACAGGAATAAAGTGTCGCTGCCGACACTTGAGTTTGAACATAGATCGCTAGTGAGCAAACAGTAAACCACGTGACCATAGAGGAAACGCATATGTAGGAATTAGCTTGGAGTTTAACTGATCACTATTTCTAGTCTATCCTCTATTACTATACGGACCGCTATTTTCTACTCTATTCGTTATACTATGTCTCAATGCGGATCACTATACGGATTATTATTCGAGCGAGTATTATCGAGTAATTACTATTAGTACGAGTGATACTCGAAGGCGTCAGACACCAGTATTGTTCAACTGTGTTACTATAGTTGTATCTGCGATTACAAAGTCTCTACTACAATGAGCATTACGAAAGGGACAAAGAATATGTGTTGGCATTACAAAAGTGACAACGAGTGTTCGTTGATATCACAAAATTTTGACAATTTCGTTTTGAATTAAACGTATTTCAAGTTTTCTCGCGGTGTTTAAAGTTTTGAGTTAAGTTAATGCAAAAATTGCTTTCTAATTAATCATATATTACGACGTGAAGGAGGTCTCATCCGTTTACTCTTGAAATTGATAAATTTAACCGCAAGTTCTATGCTAATAGTTTCTTCTCGCTTGTGGAACTCCCTTCCGGCTTTTCGGTCAAATTTGATCTTCAAAAATGTAAAACCACTGACAATCATTGTCTTTTATCTTCTTAATTCCTTTTCTTTTATTGTTCTTTCTCCTTAATATTATTATTCTTTTTCTCTTGCGTCTTAGTGGCATTATCGCCTTGCTTGGGGTGAAATGATTTTAAATAATAACAGAGGAAAGTGACAAAAGACAGGCAAAGAAGATTCCTAAGAATATTAGAAAGTGTATTACCAGCTCTACTGGAATATTGAAATTGTTTTAAGCACTGGCTGCTCGGTCAATGAATGCCGACTGGTTCTTCATAAGGAATGGCTACCATAAGAGATGACAGAAGATACTACACTTTGATCCCAGGACGAAGATCAAGTATATTTACCCGGGCTCTCCACGAAGCCAGAGTCCATCTTGCATATTTACAAATCTACCATTCGTCCGTGCATTGAATACTGTTGCCCTATCTGGTCTAGTGACCTTGCTGTTTATCTCGAGGTTCATGACAAAATCCAAAGAAGGATCTGCAATGTAATCGATCCTGACTAGCATATCGATTTCAGTTACTTTTATTGTCGATGTGACGTGACTTCCCTCTGTCTTTTCTGAAAATATTTTAATGGAAAGTACTCTGATGAGCTTTTATACGCTAGTGCCCCAACTACGAAAATTTAAGCATGCTACTATATTGGTATCTAGGTCCCACCCTTTTGCTGTCGAAATGGGTAAATGTAACCGCTACTTCTACGGAAACACTTTCTTTTCTCGCACTTCTCACCTGTGGAACTCCCTGCTGTTTCCTTGCTTCCCTGATAAATACAATCTTCAAAGATTTAAAGGCAACGTTAATCGCCAGTTTCTGTCTTTTTGAATCCCGTTCATCTTTTGTTCTTTTCTCGCTCCTCCGTATATCTAGACTTTTCTCTCTCTCCTTTACCATATGTAACCCCACCCCCTGCGTGCTCGTGACATTCCCGCCTTGATTAGGGCGAAATGATAAAAAAAGAAGGCTAATAGAGAAGGAAAAATCTATATTCATCCCCACACTCCATAAATAATAGTGCATAGTGGACTATCTAACAACCAATTTTGTAGAAGGAAAACTAAAAATCAAAAACCAACATAAAGACAGAGTAGAATAAACAGTAAATTTCTATTTCGTTTCCCGAGCGCTAATATCCCTTTAAATTTTTCCAAAATCGTCATAATTCCGTGCAAATGTACATGCTGAACTCGAATTAACAATTAAATTATAAAGAAACCTTACCGTTTTGGAATTATCGACAAGAAAAAAATCGGACTTCTTGTTGGTCATTCGTCCCCCATTACTTCCATTATGAATCCTCATTCACTGCCGAAAGATTTTTGGCGGAGTCATAAAATTTGGGTCTATTTACTTCTTTTACAGACTTTCCTTGCAGAAAATCACTATGCACTACCGTAAAGAAATGTAATTTTTTTTTGGTAAGTTTAGTTTTATTTATAAGAAAAACGAATTAAATCATACAACAGAAACTTTTTCCGTCTCGAATAGCAATGACAAATTAAAAGAACAAATTAAATAATAAAAATAAAGCATTTTTTATATTGTAAAATTGAAAAAAAAAAAAATTAATGCACGAAATTATTTTTAATGTTTTTTAATTATTAATTTGTCCTCTGATGCTATGACTGCTGAACTGTTTCTAAAATTAGTTTGTCAACATTTTTATTCGACAGTGTCTTTTATTGTGTATTTCAGAATTTAATTGAGAAAATTTGTGAAAATTGGCTTTCAGTTCTTCATAAACTTACGCCTGAAAACCGAATACAATGTTTCACCATTTGCAGCAGTTTTTTTAGCTGTCATTTTTACATTTCATTGTTAACAGTGATGAAAAACGGGGTTTTCTCGGTCCTTTTTATACACACTTTCACTCCATGTAACCCCCTGCGTACTAGTGACATGCCCAACTTGCCCAAGATGGGTTATATATATATATATATATATATATATATATATATATATATATATATATATATATATATATATATATATATTTAGATATATATTACCAATATAACTATATATAAATAAAATGTATATATATTTATATAACTAATACACCTATACATACATATATATATATATATATATATATATATATATATATATAATTTAAAAACCAATAAAATGACGTTGAAGGAATTCTGTGATTCATAAATCACCCCAGCCTCTTTTTTTTAAAAAAACAACTTAAAAGAGGCCGTTTGAACAACACAAGGACTGACCGAAATTAGCGATAAAAAAACAACCGAAAATTGAAGATAATCTCATTGACCCTTGTAGTCCACTGCTAGTAACAAGCAGAAATTTTTTTCTCCTAATGTTTTTTTTTCTCTTGATGATGGCCATTGCTGGCCGAAACTAGTCGAGGAATCTAACTGAAATAAAAAAAAAAATTAATATTCCACTTCGTGTGTCTGAAAATTTTAATTTTTTAATATTTTTTTGTTGTTCAAAAAAGCTTTTTTTGCGGATATTTTAATATTTTATATTACTAGGATCCACTTGGATTATATACACATTGTATGTTTGTTTTCATACGATCTTGATATAAAGTATAAACGTGACTTTTCTATAAATATTTTCATGATAATTGGTCCGAAGTGTTACTCTCCTTGGTGCCTCCACTGCATGAATTTAAGCATTCGACTGGATTGGCAATTAGGTCCCACCGTTTTCTGTTGCACTAGCTAGATACAACCGTAAGTTCTATTCTAATACTTTCTCTCTCATTTTTCAAGTGTGGGATTATCTTCCTGTTTCTTGTATCCCTTCATCCTAAGATCTTCAAAAATTTAAATGCAGCCCCAATCGCCGTCTCCTGTCTTGCTAAAAACAAACTTCTATTATTTTCTTTTTTTCCCCCCATTTTTTTAAATATTGTTTTTCTAGGTTTTTTTTTTGGTTTTTTTTTTTTGTTCATTTGTCTAAGCACTAAAGTCTTCAAATTCTCCCAGAAACTTCATTCAGCACAATGGTTTTATCACCTTGATTTAGATTTTCTAGCATGACAATGATACTACTTCAAAAGAAATGCAATGAAAAGGGAGAGGCGTGGTTTGATTTTTTTTGTTTTAGGGGTTATCAACCACAATCGGTTATTGAATGCCGACAAGATTTTTATTTACACTATTTACATTATTTGGACTATTGTCCTAATCATTGTTGCCATATTTATCACAACGTTTCGGCCTTTCAGTATCTGTCTATATTTCTGAGCTGAGGTATTATGTACACTTTTTACATTATTCGGACTATTGTCCTCATCTTTGTTGTCATATTCATTACAACGTTTCGGCCTTTCAGTATCTGTCTATATTTCTGAGATGAAGTATTATGTACACTATTTACATTATTCGGACTATTGTCCTTATCTTTGTTGTCATATTTATCACAACGTTTCGGCCTTTCAGTATCTGTCTATATTACTGAGATGAAGTATTATGTACACTATTTACATTATTCGGACTTTTGTCCTCATCTTTGTTGTCATATTTATTACAACGTTTCCGCCTTTCAGTATCTGTCTATATTTCTGAGATGAGGTATTATGTACACTTTTACATTATTCGGACTTTTGTCCTCATCTATTGTCGTCATA